GTTCCGTTCCGTTTCTAGGCAGCTCTTTCGGCGCACACGTGTCGTTTCTGCTGAGTTGGCAGTGCTGGCTTTGTGGACCAGACTTCGCTGAGCGTTTTCGTCCAAGCCGTTTCAAAATCCGCCGAACGTGGACGGCCTTACGTTCCCAAGTAGTATGGTCGTTTCAAGCGGTCTTACTGTTCACTTGCGAATTTTTCAGAAACGGATTTGCGCCAGAAACAAGGCCAAAGGATTGTACCATGCCCAGGGACCTGAAGTATTCTACTTCGCATTTTTTCTTATGCGTGGCAGAGCAAAAAAGATCTTGGTTATTATGATACGCAGTTTCTTCCTGTAAGTTTGATAACGTAGCTATGTGTATGTGTAGCTGTCACTCTTCGGCGATCTTCCTGCGCTTTGTAGGGGGTTGTGCGGCGACATGACTGGGTAGGCTTTTCAGAAGGTGCTCTGTAACTACCCGTCGTAGCCTCTCCACGCGGTCGTGGCGCTGGTTTCGGTGCCTTTGCTCTATCTTGTTGACTGCCCCATCCCAAGTCCACCCCACTTGCTGCTCCAACTACTTTCTTCCCACACCTCTGCAGCAGACCAGGAGTGACTCGAGGAGCTTCAGCAGCAGCACAGTGAGGTGGGAGGATGTACTCCAGTGTGATGGTACATGTACATGTTGCACCCATGCACAGACACATGATGTGCAGCAGTGTGCTCCACATGGGAGTTGCAGAGGTCTGACTAATACCTCCAACACAGTGGACACTCAACGTCACCGAGTGTGAGGTGGGAGGATGGTTGGTGGTGGACCAAGTTGGGAAATGGTCTTCACCAATCTTTGCCGTGGCCCCGGCAACCCTCACTGCTCCTCTTTCTCGGTCTGCCGACCTGTCGTGACCCACGGAAGTGGCTGCATGTCTATTTTAGAACAGTGTTTTGTGTACATACATACACTTGCCTTACTGTCTGGAGTGTGTTTGTTCCAAATATGTGTCCCGGACATTGTTGGGGTCCCATTGGCGTCTCTCTCTTCATTAACCCTCGGCACGCATGCGCAGCGAAGGCACAGTACTTGGTTTGTCATTCTGTCTGTCCGTCCGTCTGTCTGTTCACACGTTTTCTCCCGCTACGTGCAACAAGACAGCCAAAAAAGCGATACCAAATTGGACCAGCCACCATTAACAGTGCCGCGCATGCGTACGGTATGACAGTGTCGGGGCGCTGCGCCGTCTGTGTTCTGGTTTCTAGAGAGACCACTCTGGCTATCTGAGAATGTGTGGAATGTAACAAAGGAAGCTTTGCGGCCCAACGAAGGCCCCAAGCTTCCTTCCCGAAACCGCGACTAACTTCCGATCTTGCGCGAGCCCCGTAACTAAGGTAACGGTAATACCGTAATGTTCTAAATTAGCGCTAAATGTCCTACGTGAAACAGCCGTGACACAGCAGGGCTGGGGGGGAGGGGTTGTTCGTCAAAGCAACTGAGCATGCGCAAGCTCCATTTGTGCGCGGGCTCTCCCGCCAGCAACTGAGCAGACTTCATCCCACCCCTAATAACCCACCCGTTAATGGCATGAGCAACCTCCACTGGAGCGCAGCCTTCGTGTGATAGGTGGAGTCAGTGTGGACAGGATTTTTATCAGGTGTATGTGCTGATTAGCCTGTTGGCTAATCATGCACTGTATCACCGCTCACACCATGTCGGGCAGGGCCTGACTCCACCAAGGGCCACACCTGCTATCTTGACCAACAGAGTCATCATAGCCATCGTGGCCAAACCATGCGCATTAGCATACTGTACGCTGGGTGGTCACACCAGGTTTCACAAAGCGTTAATAGGTTAAATCTATCTCACACTCCTGAATGCACGTGCTCGTACCACAGGTCGCACTGTAACTTGCTGCTTACAAAAAAGTTTACTGTATTTGTTTTGGAGGTGTAGTTGTGTGGACTGGTTTAAAAATAACTAGTTGATGTGATGATGACACCAGTGATTATTACTCTGTGACTTTATGGCTGTGACAAACGACAATGATAGCTCTGACTTTATATATCGACTGACTGTATCTGTTGCACTGAACGGACAATATTCCCAAAACTGCTAAACTGTGCTGAGGCTGCTGAGTGACTTTGGAAATGGACTGATTCAGAACTGGAACGAGACTCTGGGGACGAGAGCCGAGGAAGATTCAAGTCATTAATCACACAGTTAACCCCCGGCCCACCAGTCTCAGAATTGTGGTCCAGCAGACTACGATGGTCCAGCAGTCTCTGGAGAGGGTACGAGAACTGAGAACGGGCTTCCAACAGGGCTCGCTGTATCTCCTCAAACTCAGGGCTAAGCTCGGCGTCATTGCTGCTGGTGATAGACTTAGCCTCCACGTCGCACGTGCTCCCAGTCTCTCCAGTGGCAGCATACCCACTGGCCGTGCTGCCCAGAGCCTCTGAGACTGAGAGAGCTGAGCCAGACTGTGGAGGAGACACGGTGTTCTCCACTGAGGCAGAGCCGAGAGAAAGTGACGGGCTGCTGCTTTTACTACCACTTGCCTCAAGAGGAGAAACAGTGATCTTTACACTCAGTTGATTCTCAGATAGAGAGCTGTTTAGATCATCTTCGGGTGCAGAGAGGAAATTTTCAGTTTGGATGACTTTAGATTTACAGTTCTCTCTTTCACACGCCTCCATGTCTTGCAGGGGTCTGGTCTCAATATCAGTTTTGCCTCCGTCTGGAATTTCTATAGTCGACCAAGAATCCTTGTCTCTATCTTTATTCCTGATATTATGTCTCTCCTTTCTTTGCCTTCTCTTTCCCTTTCTCTCCACCTTTATTCTTTCTCCTGCACCAACA